GGCAGAGGCAGAGGCAGAGGCAGAGGCAGAGGCAGAGGCAGAGGCAGGTGGGACCTCTGTTAGTCTGTTAGTTCAGGCCAGCCTGGTCTAGAGTTAGTTCCAGGACAGCCAGAGCTACATACACAACAGAGACTTTCTCTCAAAAGATCAAAATGGGGAGAAATCTTTAAGAAATAAAAAGACTGGAATGCACTCTTGACCACTGAGCCATCTCTCCAGTTGCCAACATTCTGATTTTAAGTTTTATGCAACAATAGCTAAGACTTACAGCTTGCTTTACTTCCAGACTACTTAATCATGTTCTTGCCAGATCCTGTCTCTTGTGCGGGACATATGATGAACTGCACAGAACATGAGGCTAACCCTTCAAATATCCTTCAGCTTATACATGATGACAGATGTTCATGTAGATTCTATAAACCCTGTGCACAGGCAAATGTCAGCAACGTTAAGACTCCAAGCGACTCGACGGCTACCTGAGCTCTCAATCGCTTTATGCCGCTTATTTGGGAGGGCCACAGATACATCCTCATAGTCAGGGTCAGTTTCTTTGATTGTTCGCTTGATTCCAGACATGGTGAAATTCAATTCTTCACTGTGAAGCAATAACAAACAGATTAATAGTACTACTATGAAATATTAGCATGTATAAATGTTTATTATACACACACAAAGGTAATAAACAAAGACTACAAAATATTGGCACTTATTTTGTATAAGTCTGTGTATATGCAAGCTGAATATGACTGGTCTGAAAAGTTTGGGAGATTGTAGATTTTCTGGTTCGGATACTCAGCTCTCAATGCTTGTCTGTACTTAGCCAACAACATTAAGTCTAACATAGTTTCCAAAAATACTATCAGCATGGTTATTTGTTAAAAACTATGGATTTCCCTTCCAGGAGAAAAATTCTTTAACCATGTTGCACACTGCTCCACTGCTCACATTTCTTCCTTCATTTTTTTTTTGAGACAGGGTTAATCTCTGTATCCCTGGCTGCTCTGAAGCTCAGAGTGAACTTAAACTCAGGGATCTTTTAAATGCTTGCATCACCATGCCCAGCCAGGCTCAAGTCTAGCTTTCACAAAAGGATATGAGAATAAACCAGACTTCGATAAAAGCAACGTTAAGATTACAGTGCTAAGTAATTCACAAAGCTTTAAGCACATCTCAAAGCATGACTAGCATAGTTCAGGGCCCATTCCAATACGCAAACCCCAATTCCATTACTTCTACAGCACTTGCTATAGTGGGTACTCAATAAAACCATCCCTGATCTTTTAGTATTACTCAAAACAAATGCAATGGTGTACTTAATGGCTAAACTCATGACCAATTTTGCAGTATGGGGAATCAGCCAGGCTTCCATATAAATGCTTAAATAAAACAATCCCATAAATGTTGTAATTTCACAATGTCTCCTACATTAGCTACTAACCACATGTAGCTACTTAAACTTAAGACTAAATTGATTAAAATTAAATAAAGTGGGGCTGGAGACGGTCAGTAGCTAAAAGCACTGGCTGCAAGTCTTCCCAGCACCTATCAAGACAACCATCTGTAACGTCAGTTCCAGGGGCTCTGACTCCCTCTTCTGACCTCCATAGGCACAGGGCACGCATGTGGTTCACAGACACATGCAGACAAACCACTCAGACACACACAATAAAATTAAATACATAAGTAAATTAATTAAGTATAAAATTCGGTTCCTTTTTTTTTCCACAGTGAACTGTTGACAGTGAATTCCCAGTGCTCAATAGCCAGCAGCAAGCAGTTAGTCACTGCCTGAGAATGAGAGAGGCTGTCATGAACTAAATGCATCCTCTCAAAAGTATGCAGTCAATGCACCCATGAGCCAGCTTAGGAACTATTGACTGTAATATATGCCACATAAAGATTTTTATTTTATCAGCCATATTTTAAGAGAAATAATATGTAACCAATATAAACAAGTCAATATTTCAATTTTATAGTGGTATATTTTTACCAAATCTTTAAGATCTGATGTGTTTTGTACAAGTGCAGCACATCTCAATTTGCACTAATCATGCTCTTAAAGACTCAATTAATGGCCTGAGGCTAGTGGCTCCCTTAGTGGGCAGCCTGAATCACTAATGAGATTAGAGCATTGGTAGAGGGGCGGGGTCAGTAGGGGCAGAACAGGCAGATCCCTATAGTGATGACTTGTAACATGGAAGACTGCTTCATGAGTCCCAGACTTGTGCTGTACCACTAACGAAGATGAACTTACCTAACCAAATGCAGAAACACACACTGGTTATTTCTTGAGGTGTTTATTTTAAATGAAGGCAGGTGTGGTAGAAATAACCATATACCTGACACTAAGAAAGTGGATCACCACATCAAGGTCAGCCCAGGCAACACAGCAAGACTCTGAATTAAAAAAAAAAAAAATGAGTAGGGGGTCTTAAAAACAGAGAGAATCTTAAGAATGTGGTTTTAGAAGCCAGCCTCTGCCCTGGTCTCACAGATACTGACAGGTACTGGACTAGGGTACTGCTGAGTCCCAGCAGGCAGACTCCCATGCCACAAGTCACCTGGGAAGTGAGTTTACATCAGAAGAGTCCCACCTCTGCTCTGCACCCTGTCCTTTCCCCTCCTGCCTGAGAATAAGAGAGGCTGTCATGAACCTAAATGCATCCTCACAAAAGTATAAGATGGGGCAGAAGACAAGGCTCAGTAGCTAACAGTCCTAGCTGCTCTTCCAGAAGACCTAGAATTGATTCCCAGCACCTGTACCCACAGGTAGCTAACAAGTCTGTAACTCCAGTTCCAGGGAATTCAATGTCCTCTTCTGGCCTCCATAGGCACTGTACAAAAATCCATGCAAGCAAAACACCACACACATAAAACAAAAACAAACCTTTAAAAAAAGTGTGTCTCGCCAGGCGGTGGTGGCGCACGCCTTTAGTCCCAGCACTTGGGAGGCAGAGGCAGGTGGATTTCTCAGTTCGAGGCCAGCCTGGTCTACAGAGTGAGTTCCAGGACAGCCAGGGCTACACAGATAAACCCTGTCTCAGAAAAAAAAAAAAAAAAAAAAAAGTGTGTCTCACTCCATTACCATATGGGGAGAGACCCTGCCTTGCTCTCTCTCAGAGCCTGGGGCCTGAAATCCTCTCTTGGGGGCCACCCTCACACCCTTACCCTTCTGTCTGTCCATGTACTATATTATCTTCCAAATAAACTACTTATTCCCTACTAATCCCTCTCAGTGCCCCCCTGAACTGTCCACTCCAATCTAAGACCTTAAAAAACAAATCATTAACTCAAAGCTACTTATTTTGTATGGAAATGCCCTAAAACACAGGCAGTAAAATTTATCCAGTTCACCTTTTCCCCCTCAAATATTTTTAAATGTGTTCATTTACAGATGAGACAAAAAAACATCAATTTAAAAGAACCTCAGCTCTTTGTTTAGTCCTTATACTAAAAGAGCTAAACAAACACTGAAACCCTGCCATAGTTCCTTTAATTATGACACTTGGAGTGGAGGAATTCAATGCCGGCCTCAGCAACATATCAAGCTGGAGGCCAATCTAAGTTGCAGGAGATCTTGTCTTAAACACCAAGAGGGGCTAAAGAGGCAGCTCAGCAGTTACAGGGACTACCCGCTCTTGCAGAGGACCTGAGTCTGATGCCCAGCACTGACATGATGATGTGCAACTGTATGTAGCTCCAGTGCCAGAAGATCAGAGGCCCTCCTCTGGCCTCTACTGGCACCAGGCACCCAAAGAGCACAGACATGTAGACAAAACACTCATACACAGAAAATAGCAATAAAAATAAAACTAAACAGATAACCAAGAGATCACTCAAAGCCGGGTGCTGGTGGTGCACACCTTTAATGTCAGCACTTGGGAGGCAGAGTCAGGCGGATTTCTGAGTTCGAGGCCAGCCTGGTCTACAGAGTGAGTTCCAGGACAGCCAGAACTACAGAGAAACCTTATCTCGAAAAACAAAACAAAACAAAACAAAACAAAACAAAACAAAACAAAAAGAGATCACTCAAGAGAACTGAATTAGTTAGTTGATCCCGGAGACAATCACTTGTTTCAGCTGACAGTCTGTCATAAATCCTGGATAACAATACTAAATTTCAAAATATTCCAAAAAGCATGAAGCATTTATAAGCACCCTATGTGAAGCCATGCAAACTTTGTTCACAACCATAAGTTACCTGCTGTAATTTACAACATAAGTATTTTTGGAAGGACTGGACTCTATTATTTAACTGTTGAGCCATCTCTCCAGCTCCTAATTTCTTACAAGTAAGATCAAACAACAAGACTCAAAACATCTACCTGCAGGGATCAATACATCCCAGCAGACCTTCATATCTGTTCCTGAAGCATACCATTTCCCCAGAGGTGGCCTAACTTCTGGAGAGTGTGTCAAAAGTCTTACGGCATTATCTGTAAGGGTAAGACCAAGAGGAGTATCTTCACCTATCTGTGGAATTCATAATGTGCCTGACCTGCACTTCCCAAATAATCACTAGAATAATCCTGCCCAGAAAGATAAACTAAGAGGAAAGAAAAGTTCATGGAAAACCAACTAGTGTTATTTTATTCTCAAAGGATAAAGCAAAACTGAGGACAAAAAGATAGAAGTGAACAGTCTGAGTGGGGACACGTAAGGAAGAAACCATCAACACATTAATTTATGCTGAGGTCATTTATTCCATTAAGAATTTGCAATGAAGCCTCCTCTGTCATTTTAACGTTTTAGCTAAACATACTAAGGAAGAGTTGGTAATTATCCAGAGAGGTTTAGAATAATTCAGATCTGTTTCTGCCTAGCAAAAACAATAAATACTTAAGTAAACGACAGCGAAGGTTAGGCACATTTGCAGACGCATATTCCCTTACATGGGAGTGTAACTGTGTAATTAAACATCATTATATTTTGGATTTATGGAAAGAAAACTCTGTTGTTGTTGTTGTTTTTTGCTACTACTTCCTCTTCTTTTCCTCCTCTTCTTCTTCCTTGTTTGGTTTTGGTTTTTTTGTTTTTGTTGTTTTGAGACAGGGTTTCTCTGTGCATGCCTGGCTGTCCTGGAACTCACTCAGAGAAATTTGAATACAGTCAATGGTGCTGGTGATGGTGACTGACTTGAAAGAGAATAAAGGTACTTTCAAGTGACTTATATATTAGTAAGAGTTTAAGTTACATGAAAATTTAGCCATTTGTACACTGAAAGCCTGTGTTTCACTGTATGCAAATTAAACCTGTTAAGAAAAGCATTATGAGCCAGGGAGGCAGAGGCAAGCAGATCTCTGAGTTCAAGATCAGCCTGATCTACAAAGAAAGTTCCAGGCCAGCCAAGGCTGTTACACAGAGAAATCTTGTCTCAAAAACAACAACAGCAAAAAGAACAACGAAAG